TTCCATCCATCACTGCTTGCTTTGTTGGCAGTAGCTCCTCAGGTAGAAAGTCCATACAGAGAGTGGTAAGGACAGCTGAGAAGATTATAGGAAGCTTGCTTCCTGTTATTCAGGATACTGCTTATAAGCACTATGTGCTTAGAGTTCAAAGCATTGTGAGAGACCCCACACACCCACTTTACAGTCTGTTTCTGTTGCTCCCCGCTGGGAGGACATTTTGAAATATTTCTAGCAGGATACAAGATTCTGTAACAGCTTTGTTCCCTATGCCATCCATCTGGTAAATTCACAAGGTTAGTTTTTCTTGCCATGTACATCCAAACTAGACTGTATACATCCAAAATAGACTCGGTTGTTTCTCTGGGTCATATAATACATGTGGGTATATGCATAATTTTGTATCTAATTGTTTATTTATATTTTTGTCAAGTTTATGTAGTGTATATTGGAGGTGGTGACTCTTTGAGAGCTATATGCAATGAAATTTCATTGTAATGTATGCCAATTAGTGTACATTCAAAGTGACAATAAAGTTACTCTAATTCTCAGTCTAAATATGGCCTTACTATAGCTATCCAAGTACCTCTTGACTGTTTGATACTAATAGGACTCTCACCCACCCTAATTACAGGTATAGGCATATTTCATTTTATTGCACTTTGCTTTCCAGTGCTTTCCAGATACAGCATTTTCTTACAAAATTCTCCACCAGTAAAAACATTTCGATTTTCTGAAAGATGAGATGATGATTAGCATTTTTTGCATTCATTGTTTAGACATTTATTGTGTCCATATAACATCTCCCTTGACACTAAACGAAAAGTAAAAATCTGGTTTTTGTTATCAGCCTCCTCATTCTCCAGGTTTATCAGGTGGCTTTAGTTAGCTTGCGCTTTGATATTTCTGTGCCTTTCCTCCTTTTTATTTATTTATCGATATGGCTGACCTATCACCCATGTGACGCTGAGGAGCTTGCAATATTAAAAAATAATAAAAACAGATAACAAAATTATCAAACTCACAGCCGCCAGGAAAAAAGATCAGAGTGACACTTCAGTATTCAATACAGCCACGCAATGTGTAGCAATGTACAGATAGTTCTCCATTTACAACCATTCATTCAGCAACCATTCAAAGTTACAACAGCAGTAAAAAAAACATGACTAACAACTGATTCTTACACTTATGACTGTCGCAGCATCACCACCATCCCACGGTCAAGTGATCAAAATTTGTGTGCTTGGCAACCATCATGGATTTACGACAGTTCAACATCCCAAGACCTTATTTCACAATTTCCTAGCTGGGTTTCTGCAAACAGTTAATGGGGAAGACAGATCTGTTTAATGATTGCAGTAATTTGTTTAACAAACAGATTGTAAAATCAGATGTGATTCACTTAACAATCATTTCGCTTAGCAACAGAAATTCTGGTCCCAATTGCGGTTGTTAAGCCATACTAGGCTTAACAAGCTTGTACTACCCATACAAGCAGGAGTGGGTTCCTGCCAGTTCTAACCTCTTCTATAGAGGAACCTATAGAAGAGGTTCCACAAATCTACAGTGCTGTTTAGAATCGGTTCCAGCTCCCTCCCCCGCCCATCTGCACATCATCAAGATGAAGAGCGAGAGGAGGAATTTTGGGAGTTGAAGTGTGCAAGTCTTAAAGCTGTCAGGTTTGAACACCCCTGGGGTATTTTTTTCTAAAGGGTTAGAGGTGCAAGGGTCTTGTAACTTGACAGCTTTAAGACTTGCACACTTCAATGCCAGAGCCAACATTTTGGTTGCTAAGCAAGAGCATTGTTAAGTGAGTTTCACCACATTTTACAAGTTGGCCATACCCACCCAGTCACATGGCCGNGGGGGGGTGTATTTGTGCACATGCATACACGCTTTGGGCACTTGGTCCGGAAAAAATTAGCCATCACTGCCTTATAGTCTTTTTGCATAAAATGGATAAATGCACTTATGATTTGAAGTGGACTCAGAGGGGTGAGGCGAAGAAAAAGAAATATTGCAGTACAGAAGACAAAACAATGGACCCCTAAGGACAAGAGCTGCAACACAGCGCTACAAGCAGACAAGAACAGCTCTGGTTATTGGTATTTCATTATTAAAAGGAACGGAAACAGATGGATGATGACTGGGCTCATCAGCTCACGAAGGGAGATGTGTGCCAGGTTCATGGACATGACCAAACAATTTTCAAGATTTAACAAGTTCACGGACAATTATCTCTTCCTGTTGATACAGGTGGGGACAAATGACACTGCAAAGAACAGCTGCGACTATCACATTTAATAACCTTGGAAGAAAGCTCAAGACCCCAGGGCATTCTCATCCAACTATGGGAGATAAGTGAAAAGGGAAATACTAAATTGGCTACACAAGATGCTGCAAACAGAAATTTGGGTTCTGGGACAACAGTCTTTTTGACCTATATAACAGACTGCTGAGACACGATGGGCTGTATCATGCATGGACTGGTGTAAATGTGTTTGGCCAGTGCGTATCCTTATTAGGAGGGCTTTAAAATGAATCTTTTGGAGAATGGAAGCAAAAAAAGCCCCAGGTAAAGATTTTAGATAAACACTTGTGCATTACAGAAGATAAACACTTGTGTAATACAGAAAATATAAGTAGTACTTAAATGAGACCTCTTAAGCCAGTCAAAGAAAAGAAAAGAAAAACAAAATTGGTTCATAAAATTCATGGAAAAAGGAAACATTAAAAGCACAATTGCAAAAAATGAGAACTAGTAAAAGAAGCCAGTGTGGTTACTCAAAAGAACCTAATGAACATACGAAAACTACAAATAAATGGGAAGAGAAGTACAGACAGGTAATCCAGAACTGCATAGTCAGTATCAAGAAAGTAAGTTTTAATAAATTGAAGTTAGTGAAGGAAGCTGAGAAGGCTTTTTTCCTAACTTTCAAAAAAAGAGAACCAGTAAATCCAGTATTCAATAAAGACAAGATACTAATAGTATAGAATCAAAAGGGACATGGTGGCTCAGTGGCTAAGATGCTGAGCTTGTCGATCAGAAAGGTCGGTAGTTCGGAGGTTTGAATATCTAGCGCCGCGTAATGGAGTGAGCTCCCGTTACTTGTTCCAGCTTCCGCCAACCTAGCAGTTCTAAAGCATGTAAAAATGCAAGTAGAAAAAAAGGAACCACCTTTGGTGGGAAGGTAACAGTGTTCCATGCGCCTTCAACATTTAGTCATGCCGGCCACGTGACTACAGAGACGTCTTCGGACATCTCCACATGATCACGTAGATGTCTTCGGACAAGGCTCTTCGGCTTTGAAACAGAGATGAGCACCACCCCCTAGAATCTGGAACAACTAGCACATATGTACGAGGGGAACCTTTACCTTTATCTTTAGAGAATCAAAACTATTCCATTTTGAGTATTCAAGAGAACTGCATCCAAAGATAGATTCATTATTTTTCAGTTGTCTCTGGTGAGTTGTCTTTGAACTTTACATAGTTCAACATATTGCAATGTATCAAAGTTAGTACAAAAGTGTTCCTTTTTTTCTAGTTTTAATTTTGGTTTCATAGGAAATGGCAATAATTATGTTCAAAGCTTCCAAATCTTTATCAGATATAATTATTTGGACTTTCAAGATTGTAAGTTCTTCATATTTCATCTTCAATTCCAAATGCTAGAAAATCTGCAGTCCACCTGTTTAGACATTGACTGAAGTTTCACCATTAATTCAAAGGTTGTTCTTCTCTTCAAGAAAGCCCTACATATGGGGCTAATATTTCTGTATCTCACCCGATAAAGTGTTGAGATATTGTGCTTAACTTCATTCAGCTTTCCTCCTTCTCCAGTATTTGGAGTGGAGCTCTTTGCTCAGTGTGACTGAGTAGTAACCATCCGTGACCCGTCAAAACCACGCTCGACTAAGCCGCGCCCGATTAAACCGCGTCGCTGACATCATCAACAGGGCAACAACAGCCAGCGGGGAGAAAGAGGGGCGTTTTAAAAAGCGTTTTGAAAGCAAGCCGATTCAACTTAAGGTAAGGATTAGCTTTAGGGTTAGCTTTAGGGTTAGC